GCCGCGCCGCGCGCCGGCACCGCCGCTGCCGTCGCTGCTGCGCCAAGGACGCTGTGGAATTAAGTTTCATAATTTCCCCGGGGCAGGTGGGATCTGCGGGAATAATGCAATTGTTCCGATGCCATAATTTAAAAAGTTGGTCCATTCGTCCACGCCATGGACGCAATCAGCGGCGCCCGGGCGTGATGGGAGAGGGAAGACGGGGATGGGCTCTGATAACTGACGGGGTGCGCCTGGGATGCGTTCACCACGCAAACGGGAAGTTTAGCCTTTAACGAGAAGCTCCGCGAAGAAGGTTGCGCCGAACCGTAAAAACGCGATGATTTCTAATTTAAACGCGCACTCGATTCGTTTTTTCTCTCTTAATTTTCAGCCGACTGCTCTGATCCGAACTGCAGCGGCCACGGCGCTTGTGTCTCCGGCAAGTGTTACTGCAAGGCCGGCTGGCAGGGCGAGCGGTGCAATCAGGTTGATCAGCAGGTGTATCAGTGTCTGCCCGGCTGCTCCGATCACGGCACGTACGACCTCGAATCTGCGGCCTGCGTTTGCGAGGAGCATTGGACGGGGGTCGATTGCTCACAGCCGAGTTGCGGTCTAGATTGCGGACTTCATGGATCCTGCGAGCAAGGCCGCTGCAAGTCAGTATACACATATGACGCACACACACATACTCCGTCCTTTATATATCGTCGTCCTTTATGAGCTCTCCGTGGACGTGTTGCGACCGGGATTTCGGAATTGGGTTACCCGTTGGCGCAGCCGGCCAACAGCCGCTCTCTCCGGGATTGAAGGAGGAAAGTGACGCGTGTCTCAACGACCAGGATCGTTTTTCTCGGATTAAAGGAATTCCATGCGACCTCGATTCGTTTCTCTTCCATATGACGCCCACACCTCGCGCAAGATCATTGTTTAATGCGGGAGATTTGCGGAATTGTGCGGACGTGGCGGTCATTTACGCGCTCTCTCTCTCTGTGCTTCATAGAGTGTGACGTGCAAACTTTTTGCAACTTTTACGACTGGAATAGATTACCGGGTAATGCCGCGTCGAAGAGTGAGAAACGTCGTAAAGTTTTCAACGAATGCACGAGGGAGGCACGTCGTGAAGCATTTAATAGTAATCCGCGCTCGAGAAGGAAAGAGAAAGAGTAACGTTTTGTCGGGACATTGAAATATTGTGGGATAGATGTGGGCGAAGAATGGCCTAAAAATGAGTAAATTGCTCGCCAGGATCGCAGGCACAAAAGTTGAGGCTAAAAAGGTGAAAAATTGCGAGAAAAAGGCTCTGTCTTACGAGGCGCCAACTTATCACAACTCGAAGGACCGTCCTCGTCTCTTCCTACTTTCCTTTGTCAGAATCAAGGACGCGAGAGAGGATCTCCTTTCTCATATTCTAAAGCTGACGCCTCTCGTCTACCACCCCGTCTCTTCCTCTTCCCCTTTTTCCCTCGTTCCATCCCCAAGAGTTGGCGTAAAAGAGGCTCTAAGTGCAAAAAGTTCCTCACTACGGCAGAACAACTTCGGAACTCAGTTCAAACTCGCATTTTTTATTGCAGCCGGTATAAACGACGAGAAATTATTTTACGTTCGGTGATACCGCCGTTTAACATAACGAATCCTGTTAGAAACATTTTCATATCGTGTACGAAGTACGAAACAATTAATGTACTAAAACGCGAATAATAGGTTATATGTATAACAAAACAACTGTATTATTATATTTTCTATGCGGATATTCTCACTGTTTTTATTTCGTTTAACTTCGATTGTTGACTAGAAATTAATTGAGGTAATATTGGGTCATCTAAAAAGTATCCGCGGTTTTTTGTCACTAGATGGTATTGATGATTAACATCATCTAGTGACAAAAAACCACGGATACTTTTTAGATGACCCAATATATGTAAGATCTGTGAGGTGCGAGGCATATTTATATTTTTAGATGCCACGATGACTGGACTGGAACGAAATGCGATCAAAAACCGTGTGACTTGCGTTGCGCCGAGCATGGCCAATGCAAAAATGGAACCTGTGTGTGCAGTCAAGGGTGGAACGGAAGACATTGCACATTACGTACGTAAAAAATAGAAGAGTATATTATCACAATAAATTCGCTGTTTTACTTTGTTGTGTGAGCATATATTTTGCTATCAATAATAAGTTCTCCGATACGAAACGACGCAATATCATTTTTCAATAATCGATTAGTCGATTGTAATTATTGAAAACGATGTCTGGAAATGGTTTTCTCTCTTTAATAGCTGGATGTGAGAATGGATGTAGCCGCCATGGATTGTGTACCCTACAGGATGGTGAATACAGTTGCGAATGTTCAACTGGATGGGCCGGCAGAGATTGCAGCATACGACTCGAATTGGAATGTAATGATTACGTTGACAATGACGAAGGTAAGTCCTCAAGTAACCCAGTATTAAATCAACTGATTAATGGCATACTATTGTCCATCTGTATCTAACGAATATTACTCTTCAAAAATCAATAAACGGAAGAAGGAAATTTACTGATTATGAAATAATATTGCCTACAGAAAAATGTTGATTGCATTCACATAACATTAAACTATAACAACGTGAACGAAATGTTAATTTTTATTACTTGCACTTATCCAATTTTTTATTAAGCTCATAAAAATATAAAAATGCGAAAAATAAGATTGTTTAAGGATGTATCATGTGTGTATAATCTCTGCATAAATGATTGAAATTAAAAATTTATACTTTCCGTATAAAAATGAATGTTAATATACGTATGAAACACATCAATAAACTCAATATTTATTTAACAATACAATTTTATAGTTTAAATTGAAAATTTTCTTATTTTATCTTAATAATAATCTAATTTATTTTTTAAAAACATTTCTATAAACATTTATTTAAACAGTTTTTGATTTATGTTATAAATCATCATCAATCTTTTATATTATTTTCACATACACGGAATATAGAAAAATCTATTTTGTTCATTTTGTTAAAAAACACGTGTAATACATCCTTAAAAGATTATTTAAGAAATAGAATCTTATTGAGTGCAAGACATGTTCGAGTGGATATCTAACAGATTGCCTTTCTCAGATGGCATGATGGACTGCTCTGACAGTGAGTGCTGTTCGCACGAAGCTTGTTCAGAACATATCATGTGCCTTGCTAGTAATAATCCCGTGGACGTTCTTCTCCGAAAACAACCACCCAGCGTCACAGCGTCCTTCTATCAACGAGTAAAGTTCCTCGTCGAAGAGAACAGCGTACAGAGCTACGCCCACATGGACGAGTACACGGAAAGGTAAGATCGATCATTTCCACCCGGACGGATTAAAATTCGAATTAGAGTTCGCTTAGTCTCTTACTTTCATAAGATAAGCGAGAGTGACGTGTTCGAACGACCGAGAACCGCCATTCCTTCATAACATTTCTGACAGATTTTTCACCCAACACACGTTTTCTCTTCTTTTTATTTTTGCATTAATGTTTTAAAGTATATATACATAAACGCGGGCAACGACTCGGTCGATCGTAAACGTTGCACACATGACATTTAATGAAGATAAAATAGCATAGCTGCGTGTCATAGTTTGGCCTTTTTACGACTTTCATGCGACCGCGTATTACTTTTCTCGGTTTTATCGTTAGTCAGAAATACGCGTATCATCGTGTTTGGTTCAGCACTTTCATTCCTTTTGGTACGGCACGCCGTGAAAATTTGTCTTCGACGTATGCAATGAATGTCCTGAAAAGCGTTATTTATGTCAAAATTGCAGTTTACAGGACTGACAAATTTAATGTGCGAAAATACAATATATCGCGTCACGCTGCACGCGGTTATCGAGTTATGAATATTATCATGTAACTTACGCGTTTCAATCTGTGGTAACAGTTTACGATGGGGTACATGTTCATATTTATTTATTATGTTTTTCTTTTTTATGTAGGATATATATATATATATATATATATATATATATATATATCTTGCATATGTATATGCGTGTACGATGCTCACTAATAATTTCACGTGGACGAGACAAAGTTAATTAAAATATATTTTCAGCTTTGAATACGTATAACTTGTTTTTAATTTATTGTGGAAGCGTAATATAAATTTTGTTTATGAAATATACATTTAATACAGATACAATACAAGCTGTACGAAATAGATACACAAAATCTGATATTATGAAAGAGAATCTGCATATTCCTCCCCTATATAAATTGATAATAAACAGAACCTAGTTGCGAAAATGATCGATGGCCTAAAATAGTAACAAATTTAGGAATCATCGTAGTCTTGTCAATATCGTTACTTTATGTAATTTGCAACGCAATATAAAGTATTTTATTAATTAAATATGTCACACGTCGAAACTATTGGTTTACGAGCGGACGTTATATGCAAATATTACTTAAATAAAGATACTGCGATTAATTATTTAATGATGTTTCCCCCATCGTGAGCGACTGTTGAACGCTACAAAAATTTTATCGAATCGTCATGAATCCACATCCGTAACAGCTGAAATATCAGAAGAGCCCCCGGTGGGTGACACCCTGCAACCCTCTAACCATCCTTTCCTAGTGTTTCACCCCTTTCCCCCCTCCGAATACCAATTGTATCGATGATTACTTCGGAATCATTGCCAATCAAAGATTTTTCATTAATTAATCTCTGCGTTTGTGATACAAAAATTTTTTTTAATGCATATTTTTAATTCAAGTTATTAACAATCATGCTAAATAAATAAATACATGTTAAATTTGCAATTGATTAAATTCATCTCTATCTTTATACGTCACTGAGGAGGAGTCTTAGACTATTTATTATTAATCTAAAAAAAATTTGTCATTAAAAATCATTAATTTTTCATTCATCATTAATGCACAAGATAATAATTGATTCAATATAATAATTGATGGATAATATTTTACGTGAAATCAATTAAAATCAATCTTCAAGCAATAAAGTATAACAAAAAAAGTGTTAAAAAGATAAACTAAATACAATTTCCAAAAAGTTTATTTTTCAAAAGACACATATAAGAATTTTTTATCAGATAAAAAATTTTTTCTGTCTTCCTTTGTTCGGTATTGAAGAAGTGATTATCGATATGCGGCTCAACTGAGAAGAAGCCGTGACGGTACTTCGGGGGTATCGTGTATTTTGTCTAGTGTTTATCCTCTGTGTGTAGCCCTTTACCATCACCAGATTACCAATCACCCTACAGCCGAAGACCGAAAAAAGGCTCCGTTCTGCCTACGGACTGAATGACAAAAGTCTGCATAACGAGAATATGCTAGAGACTTGCTTTTGTATTACCTTATTATTAGTTAATTCATTTCTCACGCGTTAATGTACTAGGCACTGTTCGTTATCGTCATAAAGTATAACAGTATTCGGCCTACGCGCAATATGATTAACAACATATATAAGGAAGGACAGAGATACAATTTTCAAAATTGCTTTCCGACACCAATAAAAAAAATTTGGCCATTCGTTAAGCGATTACGACAAAGGAGTTCATATAGATAAAGCGTACGAATGGTTGAGTCAGACGGGCAGAGATCAAAACTCCCTTAACGAGAATTTGCAATTATCTGTGAAAGTCTGTGCAGAAAGCTATCGATGTCAAAGAGCACAAGCGCCGTGACTCGCCCACTCGTAAAAGTATTTCTAGATATGGTAGACACAAGTTTGAAATTTCTCGTAGCGTCTCCTTCTTTTTGCTCCACGAAAACTTTCTATACGGTGCGTATAATAAGGTCCATGTTGTCGTCGAAGACTGTTCCAGAAGTCGAACATTTAGAATATTGTTTTTGTCCATTGTCCATTCGTCTCGTAATATCGCTAGAATATTGATTACAATTCCGAGTATACTTGCGGCCAACACTTACACTCATTTAAAAGTTTCAGCAATGTGATTGTGAACAAATGACATTGTTAATTATCTCTCAATTTAACTAAATCAACATAATTAAACTTAAATAACTATCAAAATCACTACTGATTTAATAATGCTATTTGAGGCTTATTGACATATTTCAACATTCATTGATTTAAATAAATAATTATTAAATACTCATCATTTTCATTACTCGTCTTTAGAGTTTGTAAGTTTTGTGAATACTTCGACGTTTTTACTATCAGAATTCTCGTATCTCCATCGAGAAGTCATTTGCGTTAACATGATTTTTAAAGCGCGTTCACTCCAAACGAGAAAGATGCTCACGGATACAAACGCTCCTTCGTGAATCAAGTATTCAGACTGGCATTGAGGTTGCTCGGACAGCGTAATCAATATTCGAGAATCGTCCCTCAGCCCGGGCCCTAGATCGATGCCGATGGAATCTCCTCTCGTTGTCGGTCCAGGCGATCCTTTCGACCCTGGTTACACCGAACTGATAAGAGTTTCCCTCGGGTTGCTCCATCAGGGTACCCGCGCCAAAGGTGGCGTCATGGGGCACAATCCCCGGTTGAAATGACACCGTGTATTAACATACAACCGGTTATTCAGCCATTCTTTTTTCCGGACCCTATATAT